TAGTGGAAGATCCAATTCCTTGGGACCATCACTAATGACAGCGCATACAAATAACCGCCACTTTGCTTCAATTGGGCACAAATTAGATGTTAGTGCGGCTTCCAACTCTTTACTTTTTGTGAGAATCTGTTCAGTAGTAGTTTCGTCCAAATCAGCTTCTTCTTTCTGGTTATCATTACATTTTGCCATATTAAGTTAAGATTTATTTATTGTTATTCGCATTTAATAAACAACAAATTTCAAAAATGTACTCTGTCAATGTAACGAATAGTTTACATCCGATATTAAAGTTTTTGATTGAGACTGGATAGCAAACCAACTCCAGAAATCAATTTTTCTTCTAACAAATTAAAAATTTTTTATTTAAATCAAACGTAAAAATTCATTGCCCACTTGATTTTCAGTTTGAATTTAATTCATTAAATTAAAGTAACAAAAAAATATATACATTTTGAAAGTACTACGCTGTATTTCCAAAATATTAATATTTTTAATTGAAATATATTTTGCATTTATTAAATAAATGTTTATAATTAAGACAAAAGTCTCTGTATCTTGTTTATTCTTAATTAAAATATGTTTACTCATGTTTTTTAGTTATGGCAACACTGTGAGTTTTTAGTTCCATATATTAGATCTGTTCCTCGCGTTAATCGTAGTAAAACCCAAGTAAAACACAAGTACAGTACAAACTGAGAGCGTAACACAAATATAATGCAAAATTACGCTCTTTACACAGATTTTCATGAAACAATTTTGTGTAAAGTCTGGTGAGAACACCAATGCCGCGCAAATAAATAATACAAAAATTTAAATTCAAACCAAAACAGCTGATTTAAACATCACACAAATTTTACTTGAAATAAAATGTATGAGTAAAGTCTGTGTAGCATTTTCAAATTTCGACAGGGATGTTACACTCTCCTAGATGCTTTCATTTATTCGAAAATTTGCTAGTGGAACGCATTTCTGTATACACAGTGTTACTGAAAGTGTATTGAGTCGAGATGCTCAGATTATGGAAAACGTTCCTGGTTTGTTTTTTATTCGATCAGAAGGTATGCCTAAAAGTAGGCAGCATCGTTTACGGCTTGCACAATAGCAAGAACCAAGGTCAGCTCGTCAGCTTGACGGTAAGAAATACTGATTTTTTGTTTTTTGGTAATTGTGTCAACCTGAAAACGACATTGAAACAAAGCAATTGTAAACTTATATTTAATAATAAAGTGAGGTAATTTGGGGTACCTTGAATTTACGGAATCCAGCATAGGTAAATCTTTTAGAAACTTTTGCTTTAAATAAAACAGTAAGCAGAAGTGTGAGTGGAGGAATAGTCTACCAGCAGTTGGGCTCGGTATAGCAGTGGAGCAGTGAGCTCTGTGGAATAGGTGGGCTCAGAAGTTAACGCAGTGAATAAGAGTTAATAGTTTTTATATAGTGAATAATAACTAATTTAACTTGTAAAACATCAGAAAGAAGTCTAAGTAATATAAATAGATATTATTAATATATGTGTGAAAGGAAGAACATTTTTATAAACTTAATTTAGTAAGATATATTATGAATTATATAAAGTGAAAAAATAATAACCTGATTTCATATTGAAAATATTTGACTAGTGTATAATGATAATGAAATAATATTGTAAGCAACTTAAAATCATTTATAGAACTGTGAAATGTTATAGAGAGTGTCAACTATAGAACTAGAACATAATAAAAACAATAAATACTAAGTATATTATTAAAACTAAAGAAATAAATGTTGTTTTAATATAAATACGTGGCAACAATAAGATTTATTTGAAGGAATTTATAATTACAGTTATTCGGTAACACAACAAATTTGACGCATCCAATTCTTAATAAGATTAAAAATTGGATATAAGATGAACAATTAAGTTACGGAATAAATAAAGTAATACAATAATTAATACAACACTTGCAAATTATATGGGCAAAGCCATAACTTCATCGGTCTTCATAAGAAATCACAACATAAATTAACATCGTCATTAATTTAAATCATAACAAAAGTTACTACGAGTAGATCGTGGAACAGATCTATTGCATTTTGTTTTTAGTTATAATTGAAAGTGCTGAGTACATATAGAGAGGTTATCAATTGGAAGATTGAGCTCTCTTTGAAACAGAATATTGTAGTTTTAATAGATCTTTTGTGTTCATACGAATAGCACAACAAGTCTTGCGGCTGTCTTGCAAGTCTTGCGCCTAAGCAACACTAAGAATTACCATATAAATTTTGACATTTCTGTTCAGAAGTTTAACATTTTCTAAATTGTCTCTTTGCAAAAAAATGGAATTGTGACGCAAAATGGTGACAAATCATGACTCTACACCTATAAGCCCAAAACGAAACAGCAAATCAGTATTTGGGTCTGCTAAAGTGAGCAGGACCCGACAAAAGTTGTCCGCGGAGGGAGCAAATTCAAGCAAATGTTCACATATTTTTTCAGGAAAGCCGATCATGCCGCAATTGTAGCACTTAAATGACATAAAATGGTAAATTCTACGTGATACACAACTATGTGTTTTCCGGAAGTTTTCGAAGAATTAAGGAAAACAAACCGCCGAAGGATATTCATCCAACTTCAGAGTAGCAAAACTGTTCCGAAAATTGGTTCAATCGAATGCAAAAATGTATTGATCATCATGTAGAACATTTCGAAAACAATAGAATCGAAAACAATTTTCAATGATTAACCACTGTGTTTTTATTGTTTGGCGCAAGATTTAAAAGGCAGCCCTGGTATAGTACGTTATAATATGTGGGCAGAATAGAGTTTGGGGTGTGTCGCTTTCTTAGTGTTATTGATAACTCTCGAGGATGTCATGTCAATTTACACAATCATTTGGATAATTTATATTTTTAAGGTTTTATATTGTATTTTTTTGGGTATTGTCGAAACTTCTTATTTTCACGTAACAGCTCATTTTTTAGATCGCAATTTTTATCAAAATTTTGAATAAAAATTATCAAAATGTAAATTATAACAAAATTATAAAAGTTATTATTAAATCGTGAGTAAATTTTTTGGAATTGTTTTTGCAATGTTTTTGTGAATTGGGATTAGTTTAATGTGTCTTCTGATTACATCATTTCCGACAACACAATGGAAGATTCTGTATCCACAACTCTAATGATTTTTTGGTTGCATTAGTTAATAACCAGACACCCTTTTGTCTTACATAATTAACACTAGAAACCCAAGTTGATAAACCAGATCCATCCACTTAAGTAGTTAAGGAAAATTTTGTTTTTAATGTGTTAAACAGTAAGTACCATATAACAGACTGTCAAGAAAGCACCATTTGAAAAATGTGTTTTTTCTGATAACCAAGGTTGGGCAGTTCCAAAGAAAGTGTGTGGTTGTGTTTTTTAATAAAAGGTGTGTATTGGGAAATCAGCGATTAGCAAACTATAACATCGGTACCACTCTTATTCGCCGGATTTGTCACTATTCAATTTCCACCTTTACAGAAAAATGCGTTTATCTAAGTCTATTCTAAAGGTCACCGCCGATGAATTATATGTCAAATGATTTAAAGCCAACTACTTATATAAACTGTTAGTTATAAAAGTAAGATATTTACGTATCATGAAAATAAAGTATATGCTATATATACAGGACGTTGCTCTAAGTTTGAAAAATATTTACAATACTATATTGAAGGTGTACGTTACAAATGTTGACTATATGGATAAAATTATTAAATTGCCATTAAGCAAATATCCAATACTTATTGCAAATGTGTGATTGCCATCAAAATCGAAGTGTATTATAAAATTGGAAGCGTTGGTATGCAAACATGGTACCGATTTGGCCATGCATAATATTAACAGCTTTATTAACAAGATTTTCCAGCATAATCTGAAAAGGGTGAAGAAAGCTATGTGAAACACGTTTATTGGGGTGATTACTGGTTTCCCCATACGTGACTTAACTATAATCTCAGTAAAAAAAATAATCACTTTCGAGACCGTTATTAATACTTACAGAATATCATATGTATTTAAAACGAGAGTTGCAATTCTGTCCTGGTACGTTAGTTCACATATAAGACATCCTAACGTACTTTATACCTTAAGCAATTCAAGAAAACATTATTACATCAATAACTTTCTGACCAACTGTTCTATTCTTAGTGAAATCAGAACACGGTGTTGAAGAAAGTCAACACATTCAGGAGAATAGTGTTGGGACCCATTAAACTCGTGTTCGAAGCACTAAAATATAGAAAAAAAATTATTAATGGAATAATTTAAAATAGACTATACTGTTTATTTTGTATTATACTGTATTAAAAAATTGTATATAAACTTCCTAATTTTTATTAATATATATGTTTTATATTACACACATATGGTATATATATTATGTTATATTTTTATTTTGATCTTTCAGTTAAAAAATTATATGCAAATAAATTAAATTTTATAAGAGTAGAGCAAACAAAAAAGTTGTTCATAAATAATATTTACATTAATTAATTAAATTTACTTTTGTTCATATCACATTAGAATCCTTTTGATTTATTTATTATGCATAATTATTTTATAAAAAATGTGTTTGCAATTAATAGCTAATTTTTTATTAAATACCATATCAATTACTGTAGATCTACTAATATAAAAAATGAAGAAGAAGTGGAACTTCAAAACCTGTCTTGTACCTAAATTTTAACCTGTCTTGTACCTATTGCGTCTACGTTATTATAGAGCTGTAAAACTATGAAATTATAATAATGCTAGTTGTTGAGATTTTAATTTGTCATTTTTTTAATTAAATCATACAAAACAATTTAGTCTCTGCATGATACTATTTGCAATTATTGAAGCATTATCTAAACACTGTGACATGAATATGAAACTCAAATCTAGCCCCAATATCAATTCTTTATTGATTTCTTTGGATCACAACAATCACGAGTACAAAAAAGAAAAACCAACTAAATTGATTTTAAAAAAATAATTTGGATTTAGTGAAATAAAGAACTGATCTGGCGAGAACAAATGCCAGTTATACCATTCCACTTCTCTCCGACATAAGAAAAAATCATTTTCAATTGTTCACGTGTAGCATTCGCTGCAAGCACCACATAAGCATATTTGACATTCTTGTAAATTCGATACTTCCAAATTAAACCTGTAGTGGCTAGTAAAAGCACCACACATCCGACTGGTAAGATATAATAATTGGTTACGATTGGCTGTTTAATGAGCTCTTCTTTTGGAGTAATTGCTGGAATGTCTTCACTATATAGCATGAGATAACGTAAGCGAACTATGTCAAGATTTTTAACAAGAATATACGGACCATTAATTGTTGCATCAACAGTTAATTCTAAAAACTCACGACGAAATAAGAACTCACAGGCAGCGATTACTTTAAAGGCATTGCCGCAACAGGACTTCTTCCAAAATGTTGAAGTGGGAGTCATTGCTAGTGCGGTGCCAATATCATTTACTATGCATATATTTTTAATTGCATTTGCGTGCTCCTCGTTCGACTTGAACCCTTCATAAAGCAGTTTAAACCAATTGTTAGGTGAAGTAGAGTAAAATCCAAATCTAGTGGTATAAATAAACCTTTTAAGCTGAAAATCTTTTTCGTCTGGATTTTCTCCGTAATTTGCATATATAACATGTGTCGGTATATGTGGATTTTCTTGATTATTTATAAGTTTTTCAATAACTTCTTGCGTTTCTAGTTTTGTTAAAATTGGAATATTACGTTGAACTAATACCCAATGGAGTATTAGAACTGGCAACTTTTCACAGCATTGGTAGTTCTTTTGTTCTTCTATATATGAGCGCAGGAGGTCAAATTTGGGAATTTGTTTTACTAAAGTTGTCATATAAGATGCACTAGGAATGAGTTCCGATAGGCACTTAGGCAACATATCTTTCAGATTTCCACTATTGACTGCAATCACGAAGAAAGAGAATTTGACTTCCGAGATGAAAATGTTATTTACCAGGGCTTTCCCAATCTCTTTCAATACTTTTAACAGCTCCACTGGAGTTGCAATACCATCCCATGGTTTACTTATTATTTTACAGATTCCATTCTCTACCAACTTTCCCTCCAGTTCTTTAAATAGCAATATATTTTTGGCAGTCATTTCTTTATTCACGATACAAATTGACTAAATAATTAAATAGACAAAAACGTCTGCACTTATTGTACACACTACAAAATCAATTCACAAAATATGATTTTGATTACAAATTAAACGTTTGGACACAGTTTTTTACAATAATTTTTTTATAAAATTATTTCAACTTTAAAATAAAATTTGTAAAATCATGACATACTTTTTGTTTGATATCAGTTCACTTCTGTTCAATTTAATTCCAATGTTCATTGAATTGATTTTGCTTAATTTTACACATTAAATAAATTTCCTAAATGGATCTGATTATAGTTCTGTTTACCTGTTCTTGAAAAAATTTTTTCAAGTAAGTAATTTATATAAAATAATATCAAAATGTTTAAAATATTGCTAAAGATCCCATTATGCATATATACTTAAGATATTCGAAAAATTTAATAAGAGAAACTATACATGCCTGGGTGTATTAAAAAGTAACAAAATAGAGTCTTAAGTGTTAGTCTACGGAATAAGTTTCAAAAACTAATTCTAACTTCGGTAGTTTTTATTTTTAAAATTTTTCATTTCACTTTTAAAATATGTTAGAAAAATCGGTACAGCATATACCTTGTGATCAAAAAAGAACTTTAATTTTTAATTTTTGAATACCCGTGCTCATCCAATCGGTAAATTTTTTTATTTTCACGCTGGCAACACTATTATACACATTCTGTCAAAGTTTAACGCATATCGTACGATTAGTTTTTGTTTGGTGTCTATACAAAGAAATCGTGGTGATTTTTACCTTATGCCTCCATGGTCTTAAAACGCGTTCCTCGCAATGGCAATTTCAGTCGGGGGAAGAGGAATAAGTCACACGGGGCCATATCTGGAGAGTACATTGCTTGGTTGATGATGTTGCTGGAGTTTTTGGCCAAAAACTGCGGCTTTTTTTAAATAAAATTCAGCTTTTTTGCCACTAGTCGAGAAGCGACGCGTTTCAAACCCAAAACATCAGTTAAAATGTGTTCGGCCGATCCATATTAGATGCCCAATAACACTGCAATCTCTCTAATCGGTTCACAACGATTTTCCAACACGATCTGCTTCGCCGATTCAATGTTTTCTTCAGTAATAGAAGTTGTTGGGCGGGCAGGGATTTCATCATGGTCCAAGCTTGTACGACCGTCTTTGAACCTTATAAACCATTCGTATGCTCGTGGTTGCGATACAGACAAATCACTAAAGACCTTTTTTAGCATTTTTTAACAGTTTCGACACACTTGAATCCATTTGCAACACAAAATTTGATGCGCGCACGTTGTTCTAATTTTTGATCCATTATAAAAATCGCCACACGAAAATGTTTCGACTTCTTTGTATAGACGCCAAAAAAAAACTAGTCGTACGATATAAGTTAAACTTTGACAGAATGTGTATAATAGTGTTACCAGCGTGAAAATAACAAAAATTTACCGATTGGATAAGCGCAGGAATTTAAAAATAGGCCTCTCTTTCTTTTTTGATCAGAAGGTAGAACAAGTAACACAGTCAGTGTTGAAACAAAGATTAAAAAAAAGTGCGGTAAAATTATATAAGAAAATAGATAAACATTAAAACTCTACATTAATATATCCAGGCATATTAACTTAAGATCTAGTTTAGAATTCTAAAATGATGATATTTTTATTACAAGCATAACATTCAGTAATCAAAAGTCAAGAAAATTAATAAAGTTGATTCAATATCAGATCAAAGATGGTTTGCACATATACTACGAAAAAACATCTAAAAGTATTTCAAAAATACAAGTTATGCTTTTGATACGTTTGATGAGAATGGATATTTTTAGTAATTTATTTTAAATAATTGTTGTAAATCATCTGATATAGAAATGACAAATTCAGTTCGATAAAATACTTCACTTTTTGCCAATGTGAAAAGAAAAAAAAAGTGGTTACATCCGCACAGAAAGCAATGTTTCCAAATTATTTATTTTTTTTTCAGCTATAGAAAACAAAAAATACCTAAGTAGATGTATTTTTCACAAAAATATTCCAGTTTCGTTCACACCTACAAATTAGTGTATAACGTCAAGGTTTTCATAATATGTATGTACTACAGATATCATTTCATTGTTTGACCAGAATTATTGACTTTCGATAAGTTAAGATCTGGCCCCACATCTGGCCTATTCGAAATGGCCAGATCTAATCGTTATTCTAGCCATGTCAATTGTAAAAGTGTGAGACGATGCATTGTTTTAATAAAAAAAATTTTTTTAAGAAGGACTGGCACTTACTTTAGTATATTACAAAATTAAAATTATATTCGTTGATTACCTCAAAATGAGATTGCTAATGTGGAACTGAATATTCCACATTAGACCCTCATTTAATATAATTTATTTACACACTATTGTATTAGACATTTTTATAATTTCACAAAAGATCTCCGTTTTATATAATTGAGTAACAACACACAGTTCTTCATTACAACTTTTATTTAAAATTTGTTTGAAAGCTTATAGTTCATAATTTATATTAAATATGTTTACTTGTATACAATATTATTATTGCATAATGTATGGTCAGTCATGGTAACAAAATATAACATATAAAAGACAGAATTAGTATAATAAACTAAGCTTATTTCACGCAATCGTAAAAATAATATTCGATTTAAATACATTTTATAAAAGTTTAAATATTAAGACCATAAATGAATATTTTATTGCATATATTAACATACATTACAATATATAATATATATATAAATATGTGTATGTTTTATAACAGATGTTTGTTTATGTTATTAAAATTAAAAAAAAATTAAATAATGTTGTTCAAATAAAGCCCACTCATACATAACAATTGATTTTATATATAAAGTATTAACCTAAATAAACATAATAAAACGAACAAATCAACTTAAAAAAATGTTAATAACTAATTTTTTCACAATGTAATGCATTTTTGTTTTTAAAGGCAAAAAATTTTTATAAAATCATAACTATTTTATCAAAGCTTTTTGCACTTTACTATAATTTTTCGAGATAACTTATTATTCATTAAATTTATTATACATACATAAGTATAGAATAAAGAATAAAGATATATTATATATTCATGTTTTTATACTTTTACTTTATTTATTTATCATTTTCATTAAAAACGAAATTACTAATAAGAAAGGATTGGAGAATGAAAAATGCAAAATTTAACCATTTATGCCGTTTTACAATTAAATTGAAAGCAGTTTAAGCAAATTTTGATTTTTATACTAAATTTTGTATGTTAATATTTTATTATTTTGAAACACAAACTTTGTATAAACGAATTTGCTTTATATTGGTAAGCACTATTTTGTTATAAACTTTTTATCATGTACCAAAAGACTTAACAATTAAACTTTCTTTTAAAATATTGTTGCATATTAATTCTTTGGGTTTTAAAAGTTTCTGATAAACAAATTACTTATTTTTGTTATATGCGTCAAATATTTAAGAACTGTTATTATTTTTTCATACACAAATGCTTTATAATATATTTATAAATTTAAATTTGTTAATTTTACTATAAAATACAATGCTATTTAAATATATTGTTGCTGTTTCGTTATACAAATATATATTATTTTTATAATTTAATATTAAGTTTATAAAATATTGCATTATTGTTCCTTGTTGGTGTCAATTAGTTAGATTTTATGTATATATGTTATGTTACTCGAATAAAAAAAGTATAAAAAACTATTGTAATTATCTAATATATAAGAATAAATGTTTTGATTATTGATTTTGAGAACGAGATTCAAACATGGCCGTCACATCACGAATTGAAAATTGCGGCGAAATCTTTTCTCTTCTGTAAGTAAAATAGGAACCATTATTTTTTGTAGTTCTTACTTTAAATTGTATACATACGTTGAGTTAACATGACGATTGGTTGATGTCTGTAATCCGGCACTACCAGCTACTGCTGTTATAGCACTATTTCCAGTTTCGTTCTTGCGCTCACGTACCACATTACCCCCACTGACATTACCAAAATTGGTATTATTCTTACGATCTATTTTGTGCAAACTGGTGCGTGCGGGATACACATCTACATCAATACCATCACCAGCACTTAATAGTTTTGTATCACCACCGTTATTACTCTCACTTGCCACATTAATGTGATTGTTTGTGTTATGTATTTTCTTGCTGTTTTTTGTGATTGTATTATTGGAATTATTTGCGTTATTAAGCTCCGTGTGGCCAACAATGGACGAGACGTCGCTATTTTGATTTTTCTCATCGGAAATACTACGTACTCTGTGCGTATAAATGGGTGCGTTCAATGTGCTCTCAGATCCCACATGCCTAAAGTCTTTAAGATTGTCTAAATCTTTTTGCAGTGTGCGAATATCACCGCGGGATTTTGATTTCATACGCAATGATTCGGCTTGAAACTTGACATCGTCTTTTGTTGTCGTATGCAAATCTATTTTCGATTTTGATTTAAAAGATTCTGTTCGATATTTTTGCGTTAATTGTTGTCGTCTTTCCTCTTTTATTTTATCGATACGCTCTCGATCAAGTTTCACACCCGAAAGCACTTTTAAACTACTGTTGGAAAGATTTAAGTTTGAATTATTTAAGTCCGCTGCAGAATTTGGCAAAGCAACGTTATTTTGTATAAGAGATATACGATTCTCAGTTGTGGGTGTGATTTTTAATTCAGACGATTCATAGTCATTCTCAATAGAGTTTCCAGCACTATCACTGTTGTCGGTGTGATTATAGTTTTTCTCCTTATATTGGTGTAATTCAAGTTTCATTGGTGTCTTGTCGCATTTAAACATGCACGTTTCCTCAGTAATGGGCATGCCAGGTAGACGTTTTGGAGGATTTAGTGTTTTAGGGCGAGTGAAGTCAAAGCTTTTACGTCTATTGCAAACTTCAGTCAGTTCTGGTAATTGCTGTATACTTTTAGCGCTCATATCATGGACATGTTTCGTTCCAAACTCACGCACAAAAGCATTCTCATCCAATGAACGTGTAATTTGTTCAGATTTTTTTAACTTTGGTTTTACGGTAATGTTAGGAGGCACATTGCCGCCATTAGTAGCAATACCAACGGACGTAGTAACATTATTTTCGATTAGCTCACAATTGGTTGCTTGAGCGATTTTTGCGGCCACCTTTGTCTCTGGTGTTAACTGATTTGTTGGCTTTTTCATTGAGCAGCGTAAACTAAAATCGAATGCCGGCAATTGTTCAACTGGAGAACATTCAAATTTTGTTGCAAGTTCTTTGACACTAAAATTAGAAGGCGACTTACGTGCCGTATTTTCTTGCTCCACCAATTGTGTTTGTTGACTTTGTTGTGCTTCTTCCAAATTTCGCTGATAGCTTTTGGAAGCACTGTTTCTTAAGTTATTAGTTTCGACTGCAATTTTGTTTTTCTTACTATTCATTACTTCAACGAGTTTTTGTGCTTCACCATTTTCAGCCACATTACTTTCCTCATCGTACTCTTCTTTCTCTAGGTTTTGGCTGGCTAATAAAGGTATTTTCATATCTTCACCCAAAATATTTTCATATATACTTTTTGGTTTTCGTAATTCCACATTTTCATAAAGTAACTTTTCCTCACTAAAATCATCACAGTCAGAATTGTTCAAAATCATTTCGTCCCCCATTTGAATATCATCATATTCGTCATTTGAATTAATATCATCAATGCTCTCATGTGACTTTTGATTTCTTCCATTAGATTGTGTCAACAAATCTTCTAATTCACTTGTTTCTTCAATGCCTTTTAGTTGATCACAGGCTATGGAGCTCTTACGATTATCATTATCCAGCAGCTGATTAACTTCTGTAACCGAATTTCGGAATAGCTTGACTTGTACATACACGGTATGTTCATCGAAGCTTGTTTCAAGTAATGGCTTAGGTTGTTGTGGTTTCTCATGCAATTGTGCTAATTGTTTTTCTTCTTTGGAATTACCTTTCTTGTTAAATGTGATGCTTATAGTGGATTTAATAGGACTTGGCAATTTATTTGCGCTTAATGGCGAGACAACATTACTAGGTGTGTTTTCAAAGTCATCATAAACTGGTGAGCTTTCTTCTGTTTCGATAAGTGAATGCATACTCGACTGGCGTTGTAAGTGCTGATAGCCGAATTCACTCGGTGTAACAGATTGACTAGTATTATCCGTGAAATTGGAATTATTTGGTGATGGTTGTTGTTGATATAATTGCTTATTTGTGTGTGCAGAACCATTATCTAAACGGTCGATTGTCATTTTTGTACTCAAAGGATTTAAATCCAAAGAAAGTTCTCTTTTTAAAGCATGCATATCTCGTTTTTCTGTGCTGATATTATTCGAATGTGATGTTAACTATTGAAATGAAAAATGTAAACAAAACTATTATAAAAAAATTAAATTTGATTGATAATAATAAACTTACATTACTACCCAAACTTTCATGTGATGTTCCTAAATAACTGCTACTGGCATCAACGCCCAGCAAAAATTGTTGCTGTTGATTGGAAGATGTGCCAGATATACATGATAAACCAGACATAGCTGATTCAACCATTAAAGGATCTAAATCGTACTGCGGTGTATTTACGGCAGAGCTATTTTCAGAACTGGTTTCTCCTACCAGTAAAGAATAACGTGGACTACGCACAGGTGATGATGGTGTAACCGATAACTTGGATCGTTCCATATCTATTTTGGCATCTTTGGATATATCTGCTGAATTACTGCGTAAGAGTAATAAGTTCAATTGCTCATTAGTTCCACAAAAACTATTGCGATTTTTTGGTCGCAAGAGATCGGGCAGTACTTTAGGCATATGCTGTTGCTTAGTTGATTTAGATAAGGTCGATTGTGGGCCAACAAAAGAGACAGTTCTACAATAAAGAAAATTTATTATGTTTTAGAATGATGAATAAACATATAATGTAATATATTTTAAAATTATTTTTATAACATTAATATAGCAGTTAAAAAACTATTTAAGTAGATCAATATATAGCTCATATATATACCATAAATATATACATATACATAAGAGATATATATAATTATAACATATATACTGTGTTGATTAAACTGACTTTTTAAAACAACTTAATTACATAATTTTACTTAAATTTATATTAAATAAAAATGTTGGAAATAATATATATATAAATGATAGTTAATGTCTACTGTTG